AATGGGGATGTGACAAGATGTTCAACAATTGGTATTTATTGAAAACATTGTATAATATGCAAAATAATGAGGTGCCTTTATATTGCATCTATAAAAATTAAGTAAAATTGGATCAAGTAGGGCTGGGGTTGTAGCTCAGTGGTGGAGAGCTTGCCTAGCACATGTGAGGCACTGGGTTCAATCCTCATCACCACATAAAAATAAACAAATCAAATAAAGATATTGTGTCTATCTATAACTAAAAAGAATTTTTTTAAAATGGGGGGGCTGGGGACATGGCTCAGTGGTTAAGCACCCCTGTATTCAACCCCTGATAAACAAAAAAAATTTTTTTAAACTGGACTAAGTTCATAAAAAGAAGACCTGACTTCAAAATCTACAGAAGAAAACATGGACAAAAGGTTCATGATATTAGATTTGGTAATCATATCTTGGATGCAACACCAAAAACACAGACAACAAGCACAAAACTAGACAAATGGAACTATATGTATTTTAATGCCACCCCTCATCTTAGGTTCCAGGACTGGTATTGTACCTGGTGTTCGTATTTCTATGTCAGGTTTCTGAAAGTGTAAAGTCAGATTGCCACTTATCTCTCTTATTCTGACTGGAGATTTTTCGGGTATGCCAAGAAAATAGCATCCATTTACCAAAATGTTGGTGGTGGTATTTGTTAGCACAAAAAGACTGGGCCAGATGCAAACTTCATGGATTGGCTGTTGATTCAGGGACCAAGTTTTATGCAGGAATGCGGTGATGCTGGTGGAGCCATTTTTTTTTCTGCTGGAAAAGGAGCCACTGGACAAGGAAAGGGATTGGGCTTATATGGGTTATACTGAGAGGTGACTTAATTAATGGGCTTGTCAGTTTGGGACACTTAGGAATCCAGGGTCTGTCTAACTTGGTGAAATGGGAGGGAGTCTGGGGTCAGTGTTCAGTTTTAAGCACTTAGGAAACTGTTTGGTGAGAATTTGAAAATTTGTTTTTACTGAGCAATATTTTAAAGAGCAGGGGCTGCTCTTGGGTCCCATGGGGTGCCAAATTTGTTGCTGAAGGCTTAGTCCTTTTCCCTGATGCCAATCCAATAAAGAGGACACCATTTTGAGAAAAAGGAAAAAAGAAGGTTTATTGCTTTGAAGAAGAATGGAGGGTCTAGGGTCAGCATTCATAGTTTATCTCTTTCTCTTCAGGGTCCCATTGTACTGGCACTGAGAAAGGATCTATTTGGGGAAGGATCCATACTTTGGCTTCCTTTCTAGGGATTGTTCTGTCACTGGGAAAGAATCAATGTGCTGCTTTTCTCTTCATTCCCAATTCCCAGGCTATATTATTGGTGTTTGTCATTTACATGGATAATAGTCTTGACAGGAAAGTAGCTCAAACTTCAAACATCCCAACAAAAGAAAATATAAAGTTAGACACATCTCACGTGAGAACCTTATGATCTGATTCAGGGGAAAGTCAGAAACTCCTTCTTGCGTTTTATGACCTGCTTCAGGGGAGAAGGTGTGAGTGCCTTCTTGATTTTGATGTTTTCACAAATTCCAAGGTACCATATTTTGAAGTAGTGTGTCCTGAACTTCCACAGTGGGCAATGGGAGGAAACAAAATAGATGAATGTTTTATCCAACCTGCTTTATTTTCTTTAATGTAATACTTTGAAAGCTCCATAGTTTCCTCTAAATATTCCCTTTATTTGTTTCTAGTCCTTTTTAAAATGCCTAATTTATTTGCATTGTTGTCAAAAAACATGGCCTGTATGGTACCAGTTCTTTGAAATGTGTTTGGGTTACCTTTGAACTATTATGAGATCATTTTTTATAAATATGTGCTTAAAATATGACTTTTCAAATTTTGAAATGGAATAGTCTACATCATTATTACATCAAGTTTGATATTTTGCTCTTCCAATATCCCATATCTTCAGTGATTTTTTTTTTATACCAGGAATTGAACCAACAGAATCTTGCTAGATTGATTAGGGCCTTGCTAACTTGCTAAGGCTGGCTTTGAACTCATGATCTTCCTGCCTCAGCCTCTTGAGCCACTGGGTTTACAGGAGTATACCACATCTTCTGGCCAATGATCATTCTTTTTATCATCTTTTCTGTCAATTAATGAGAAAGATAGGTAAAAATAACTCTGTTATATTTGTTAGTTCTCTTTGTAGTTCTACCAACTTTTTCTTTGAAGTTACATTATTAAATGTATAAAAGTTTATGAATATTTTCATTCCCTGGTAAATTAATCTTTTTAACATTTTTAATTTCCTTCTCTACCTCTAGAAATATTTTGTCTTACTTTCAATTAAATGTAGTTATAAAACTTTCCATGTTAATATTTGGCATATCTTTTCCTACCCTTGACTTATTCCTTCACATTTATTTTATGATGCATTAAAGTTGTACATAATGGGTGGAATTCACTGTTACAAATTCATACATGCACCCAATATAACAATGTAATTTGGCCAGTATCCTTCTTAAGCACTTCCTTCTCCCTACCCCTTTCCCACTCCTGTCCCTTTCCTCTATTCTATTAATCTCCCCTTGTTTTCCAATTATGTACGATCACCCCCACCTTTCTTATCCTTCTTCCTCTCTAGCATCCACATATGAGAGAAAGCATATGACCTTTGATCTTCTGAGTTTGGTTTATTTTGCTTAACACAATGGTCTCAAGTTCCATCCATTTTCTTGCAGATGGCATAATTTCATTTTTTCTTTATGGTGGAATAAAACTCCACTGTGTATAGATACCACATTTTCTTCACCCATTAATCTGTGGATGGGCACCTAAACTGTTTCCATGGTTTGGCTATAATGAATTATGCTGCTATAAACATGGGTATGCAAGTATCGATGCAGTACACAGACTTTAATTCTTTATAATTAATATTGAGGAGTGGTTATAACTGGGAGGTTCCATGTCTAGTCTTTTTTTGTAAGAATTTTACCTTTATTTTATTTATTTGTTTTCATGTGATGCTAAAGGTTAAACCCAGTGCCTCATCCATGCTACCCATGCCTAGTCTTGAGAATCCGACCTTTGACTTTCAAGATTTGTGTATCCTTACTGCAGCTAGAGTTTTAAAAATATGATCTGACGATATTTTTCTTTTAACTGGTAAGTTCATTCCACATGAATATCTAATAATATTGATAGATTTGGATTTATTATGGAAATCATGCTTAGCAAGAGACCAAGCACCACTGAAAGGATTGGAGAACTCTGGGGGACCCAGAAGGGTAGTGCTCTGAAATTCTGGGGCCCTGAGCTAGGGTTACAGGTGGCTCTTTATAGTAAATTTGACATAATTCCTTAACCATTACAACTTGAACTTCATGACCAAGGACCGTGCACAGAAATTTTATAAGTAGGTCACAGGTGCAGAACAAAGACAATAAAACACTTGCAAGTGTTATCATGAAGTGTCCTTTTCCAAGGCAGCAGTAGCTCAAAATGACTTGAGTTTATCTCCCTAAGAGGTATATGTCTAAGAATTAAGCCTACGAGGTTATAGTTAATTGGCATAGTAACCTAAAATTTATACTATCAATTAAGTGTTGTAGCTATATTCCTAAACGTTTTACAAAAATATAAGAAGAAACTTCACAGGCATCTATTGCATCTCTAGTCTTAAATCTGTCACAGAGATGTTTACATATCAAGAGAGAGTTGTCAGACTTCCTAGAGATAGCTATTTACACCCTTATAGATAGGGATCCATGGTTAATTAGGTTCCAGGAAGAGAGGCTGGCAGAGGGGAAGGGGAGAAATTAACCCTTTCCCAAGGTACTGATTCTCTATCATAAAGTTCTTATATTCATTTTATAATCAGGCCTGGTATTTCCACCACATCATTACTATTATTTTCTAACATACTTTCTATTTTTCCCAGTTTTTCTGTTTCTGATTTGTTTGTACTTGTTTGGAAATTGCACGCACTACGTTGTCAAGTTTTACCGAGAGCCATTTCTACGAGAAAAACTGTGAATATATCCATATAGCTTCTATGTTGTATTCCTGGAGAAATACTGTCCTGGGGTAGGGACTGGTTTTTTTTATTTGGTAAAATTGCTTGATGCTGAGTTACCTTAATTTGTATGAATTGTGAAATTTTTCGGTTTTTTCCATGTTTTGAAATAATTCAAACAACTGTGAAAGAGAAGAGCTAGACATTAATAAAATGCAGTAAAGCCAGATTTTATTCTGTACTATTGCAATGTGGAGAGCAGCTTCAGTAAAACAGAGCTGAACTCTGAATACAACACAGACAGCTGCAGATTTTTGGCCAACAAGCAGGATGGGAGTGTCAGTGGATGAAAAATTACTAAGAGGAAACATCAAGTGGTAGATTCTTGCTAAAGGCAGGCCAATGACTTAATACATTAAGGGTAGTGGATGAGGAACTTGATCAGCTATCCAGGGTGGGAGACTTAACAGGATTCTTGCTAAAACTGGGCTTGGCAGTCCCAAGATGAGACCTAGTCAAAAGAGGGCTCTAGAAAACTGGGTAAAGTTTGATTCAAGACATAGGCTTTGTCACAGCAAAGAGGCAGAAGAAATTAACAGTTATTTTTGGAAAACCAAATTTTACAAATTAAGGTGTCATTTTTCTGCACCAAAAATGCCAAACACTTCAGCAAGTTCCAAAGGGGCAGAACTGTTGAAACTACCTCAACGCAGGGCACACATTTAACTGAAGGATTTTACCGGATTTTTACACAGCGATAATTTTGAAGATCTCACAGAAGCTCCTGACACTGAACTAGAGAACCGGAAATAGTAGTTAGGGCTTATGGAGTATCCACCATGTACCTGGTGTGTCACTACTCCTTTGCAAAAGGTCCTCTAGGTTCCTCTCATTTCCAAGAAGGAAAAGTTAGGCTTAGCCAAGGATGTCTGTCCTCACTACCCTCCGACAGGATCTAAGAAGAGTTTCTTTGGGGAAGCAGGGATAAAGACGTAATGCACATCCATTTCTTTCTCGGCAGCCCCAACAAGCACAGGTGCCACCCTCCGTCCACCGCCCAATGGTGGCCCCGCGCCTGCGCACCCTGACGCTAGCGTCCTGGCCCCGCAGCCTTGTGGGAAATGTAGTACAACGCGTCGGGTGCGGCTGCGTCCGTCTGCTGGCCGCCCCGGCTTGTTCTGCGAGAGGGTGAATGCAGTGCCCCGGCGGCGGGCCTCGGAGGATCCCGAAGGAGGAGCCCAGAACTGCAGGGGGAGGCCTCTGCGGCCCGCGGGGCGGAGCCGGCAGCGGATGGGCTCGGGGAGAGTCCTCTCCTCCACCGGGCCACTGAGCTGCAGGTGCGCCCCCTCAGGTACCCAGCAGCCAGGCCGTGGTGAGAACCCCCAGAGCTAGGAATGTCCCTGACACAGACCTTCCACCTGTCCGAGGAGGGCGCCGAGGTTGGATCACAGCCCGGGATCGGCGGGGGCGGGGGACTTGGCATGGCGTTCTGGGGTTCGAAGGGTCATTGGGGGCCGAAGGCATGGCCAGTAGCTCGGACCCCGGGTCTCTTCTCTAGGGCTTTTCTGGGCCCCGCGCATCCTAGTCCTGGAACTCGTCGCCAAGGTGAAGGGGATCGGCCCCTCGGAAGTCTCGAGGGATGCTGAACCACAGTCCGGGGTCTCCCACTCCAGCCCTTTGTGTAAACCGCAACTCAGAACACACGCAGTGGTTTCCTGATTCCAAAAAAGGGCGTAGGCGTGGGCTCCCCTTGACCCATCTCTTCAAAAGAACCTGGAAGCCAGATTTCTACTTCAGGATTTTTTTTTTTTTGAAGAATTTTTTCTGTTAAAACTTAACTGTAGGTCAACTAGAAAATTCAGATGAGCAAAAATCATTTGAGAGTTCTCAAAATCTGTACATGTGTATAAAGTATATTATCACTTTGTTTTTAGAAGGAAATATGAATATTAGTATCACTTCTCCATTTACCCATTAAAAGTGAGTTATGAAATGCATTTGGCAAGGTTAAAATGCAGGCATCTTAAGCTCCATCACTTTTGGGGTAACTGCCACTCAATGGAGATAGAGAATAAACTTTTTTTAAAAACATGCTGAAAACGTTTACTTATACCAATTTTAAAAACAGCTAACATCAACATTTAATGAGTGTGAGGGAAAGTATGGCAGTGTCCTTAATTTTCTTTGCATCCCATTTTTTTAAATATATATAAGTATATTTTTATATACATATAGACAATCTGGCTAGCTACGGTTTTGCATTGTTGTCGCAGTCTATCAGTCTCTTCAAGTGATATTTCTAGGTCAGTGGCACAATGTCTTTTAATACTACTTGTCTTCTTACTCTTTAACTTTCTGAGAGGTGCTAATGATAAGCTGTTTAAGTTGCATTTTGAACATTTAGGAGAATTTTTATGCAGTTTGCTTTTTTTTTTTTTTTTTTTTTGGTACCAGGGATTTAAACCAGGGGTGCTGTACCTAGGCCTTTTTATATTTTATTTTGAGTTTTTGAGTCAGGTTCTAGCTAAGTTGCTTAGGGTCTCCTTAAGTAGTTCTGGCTGACTTCAAACTAACTATACTCTTACTTCAGCCTTCTCAACTGCCAGGATTACAGGCATTCGCTATTTTTTTTTGTTTTTGATGCTGGGCATGTAACCCAGGTCTTTACACATACTAGGCAAGCACTTTACCACTGATCTATATATCCCAAGCCTTTGTTTTATTTTTAAATTTTCTGATATACAAGCACATATTTCCTAACTGAGCAGAGATGTTACATATTCATATCAAACATAAAACAATTCCTTCATGTTTGGGTCTTTAATATCATTATTAGGGAGCCTCATCTGTACTTTGTTCTAATACTTTTGTGTCATTACACATGTACATCTTAAGTTTTTTCCAAATGGAAAGTCCTTTTGAATAATTTTCTTCAGTAATGTGAAATGCTACATTTTTCATATCCTGAATTTTTATGGTGCTCTGAGCTATACTTTCAGCCCCTGAATTCTTATGTGTACATTTTTTATGAATCATCTATATTGGAAAGACTTCAAATTGTTCCATTGGTCCTTTCCCCTGTTAGATAATAATATTCATTAGGGCACAGAGTTTATCTATTTTATGTACAGTTGTTCTCACAGCTTAAATTGGTGAGCCCCTTATACAGTTGATATTTTGGTGAATTAGTGATTCTGCCTATTTGGTAATACTGTGTTCCAATAACTAAAAGTTCTGGTTGGGCAAACTGTCATCAGTGTTCTATTTTATTTTAAAATATTTAATTGACTATATGAGGTTTAGGTGAAGTGTATAGTCAGTACATGTATACAGTGTGCAATGATCAAATCAGAATAATTAGCATATCCATGACCTCAAATGTATATCAAAAATTTGTGTTGGGAACACTTAAAATCCTTTCTTGTAGGTATTTTGGAGTATACGTCAAATTATTATTAACTCTAGTCACCATACTGTACTAAAGAATATTAAAACATATTCCTCCTGTGTAACTGTATTTTTATACCTTATAGTCAACCTGTCTCTGTTCTTTTCTCCCCTCCAAAGCCTCTGATAACTTCTCTTCTGTACTTTTGCGAGACCAACTTACTTAGTCTCCACATATGAATGTGAACATGAGGAATTTGTCTTTGTGTTAGCTTTTTGTCAGTGTGACAAATACCTGAGAAAAACAACTTTGAGGAAGAAAACTTTATTTTGGCTCTCAGTTTCATAGGTCCATGGTCAGCCCCATTGCTTTGAACCTAAATGGAAGTAGAAACCTTGAGAGAAGGACATAGCAGAGGAAAGCTGCCACCTGGTGGCAGCCAGGAAACAAGAAGAAAGGAAGAAGGGACTGGGGACAAGACACACTCTGCCAGGGCACATCCTCAGTGACCTACTTCTTACAACTAGCCCCTATTTCCTACAGTTTCTACCACCTCCCAGTAATGCCAACAAATTATTAATTCACTAATCCATTGATGAGATTAGAGCCCTCTTGATCCAGTCACCTCCCAAGAGCCCTATCTCTGAACACTGCTGAACTGAGGGCCATGCATTCAACACAGGAGCTTTGGGGAATATTTCATATCCAAACTGTAATAGTGTTTATCAGTATTTTTTTGTTTTGGTACTAGGAGTTGAATCCAGGAGTGTGCATAACCACTGAGCTATATCCCTAGCCCTTTTTTTTTTTTTTTTTTTTTTAGAGACAGGGTCTTGCTTTGCTTTGGCCTTGCTAAATTGCTGAGGCTGGCTTTGAACTCATGATCCTTCTGTTTAAAGCTGGATTACAGGCATGTGCCACACTATGCACCCGGCTTCATCAGTATTCTTTTTAAAATATTTTTTTTTCTGTTGTACAAAACAATTTGCATAATTAACTTCAAAATATTGTCACTCCATTTTAGCTTAATTAGGAGTATAAGTTCAAAAGTTCATTTCATGGAAGTGACAACTTAGAATACTGTGACATCCTATCCAGGAATTCAGTATGTATATCTATGTTCATCTTTCTTTATAAATCTAAATAAGCTTAATAGAGCAAACTACAAATAAAAATTGTAATTTTCTCTATGTAGATTCCTTACACTCCTATTTATCTGTAGGTACTTTGTTTGTTGTTGCAGGAGTACAGTTTCTCATGATTTCCTGTCCTTCCCTCAACTCCACATTCCCTAGGAAGGACCCCACAGGAAGGAAGAAGGCAATGGCTGCTGGGCCTCTGCCTTTGGAAGCTCAGGTGACTCATCTTTTTCTCTCAAACCTCTTCCTTATTCTCATACTGTGTGTGGGATTCACTACACAGGACAAAGCTATTGATGATCAGAATGTTGAGGAGTTTTTGCAAAGCCTCCCTCAGTGTCCCTCTGTTCTCAGGCCACTGATACCCTGGCCTTCTGGGTTCTTGATGGCGTTCAAGGATCAGAAAAGGAACAAAAATCATAGAGAAATGGTCCTTGTGTTTATAGGGCTTATGGGCTCTCAGGTATCATAAAAGAGGACACATCTGTACAGGGTACAATTATAAGGATTGAACATGAAAATGATGATAAGATCAAGTATGGTTATGTTCCCAGATTATTGGTGTTCCAGAATCTGGAGAAGAGAAATATCAGGGTAGAGATTAGGAGAAGTAGGGGGTGTTTGCCCATCTAAAGGGTTGAAAATGGATAAATATTGAGGATTTGCTATATAACGGAGTTGGAGTGTCCAATATTAAATTCTGACCCTACCGTTTAATATCTGCATTGCCTTAGGCAAGTGACTTGACTTCCTTAAAACATCACTTCTTCATACTGATGACAGAAATAACAGCATTAACTAAATTTCTGCCATACATCTGGCATTGTTAAGAATTACCTATGGCTCATCTCATTTACTTCATCGGTTTTCTCAAAGTTCAAATAAGATAATGCAAGTGAAAAGAGCCTTAGCTTGGTTCCTGTATTGTTGAAGGTATTTGGTAATTGCTAGGCATCCTTAGTATTAGTACAGCCAAGAACTTGGTAGTTTAGAGTTTCACTGGTGGGGTGAGGGTAGCAGTCACTGATAGTGAGACATGTTTGACTGGCATAGAGGGAATCCAGTGCCCTGTTTGGAGTCAAGTGGAAAGAGGGGCTTGCATGTATGTTGACCTGGCAGGCTTGGGGATGGAAGAGGTACCTGGGAGATCAGTCTGAGGAATTTTGTTAAGAGACTTGGCATGATAAAAGTTTTTCTAACCAGGCAAGGTGGTGCATGCCTATAAATCCAACAGCTTGGGAGGCTCAGGCAGGAGGATCGTGAATTCAGAGCCAGCCTCAGCAACTTGGCGAGGTCCTAAAGCAACTCAGTGAGACCCCATCTCTAAATAAAAAATAAAAAAGGGTTGGGGAAGTGCTCACTGGTTAAGCACCACTAGGTTCAATCTTTGAGACCAAAAAAAATACAAAAATAAAAATGAAAAATTTTGTAGGAATAAAAGAGTGTTAATCAGAAAGAGGAAACCATGAAATTGAAATCAGAAGTGAGGAGCCCTGACTTATTACTTGAAATTAGAACATGCTAGTTTTCCTGGAATCTGTAGTTGTTGCTTTTGTGGTAGAGCACTTGCCTAGCCCATGTGTAAGGCCCTGGGTTCAATCCCCAGCACCACGAAAAACAAACAAAAACCATAAAGCAATAATGAATATTAGAGAAGGGAGTTTTCTAGAAGAGGGGAATGTTTATGTGGGTCATCTGAAAGATTCTGGTTAATGAAGATTGTAATTTGGTTATCAGTAGCCTGGATTTGATTTGCTGTTTAATGTTAATTAAGGGTGGCACACGCTTGTAGTTCCAGCGGCTTAGGAAGCTGAGACAGGAAGATGGTGAGTTCAAAGCCATCCTCAGCAACTTAGCAAGGCCCTGAGCAGCTCAGCAATAAAATATAAAAAATGGCTGGGTTCAATCCCTGCTACCAAAATAATAGTAGTAGTAATAATAATAATAATGTTACTTGAAATTTTTCAGTGTTAAAATTTTAAATCCACTTTTTTGAGATATAATGAATATAAAATAACCCACTTAAAGCATTAAATTATTTGGCTGCGACAAATATATGTACTAACATAACCACCATCTCAATCAAGATGTAGAACATTTTCATTACCCCAGAAAGTATACTCATGTCCCCTTCTGGTTGTTAAGCTTTCAAGACTAAGAGGTCTCTGAAAATAAAGTATTTGAGCTGTACAGATTCTAGCCAAAAGGTAAAGGATGAGTCCTGGGACAATCCTAGGCCACCAGCAGCATGGCCAGATATCAGGTAGAAGAATGTCCATTTCATTTATAATGAAATTTTTGGGAGAAGAAACATAAATCATTTACATCGAGCCTATAGTGGCTATCAATTTGAGGGGGTGGCAAAGTCCTGGGATAGGAGGTTAGTCCATAAAGAGAAGTTTTTGCTATTTCTTGTTTGGTTGGTTTCAAAAGCAGAATGAGATATAGCCTTGATGGGTAATTTTCAGCATATAGTCAAGGAATGTGGAGCATTTGTTGTTCTTTTGTTGTTGTTGTTGTTGACTTAGCTTGAAGCTATGGGTTGGAGTAGCCTTCTCTTATCTCTTTCTTACCTCTATTAGTCCTGTAACTTAATTTAGAACATGTCAGAACTCTTCTCTTATCATAGTCCATATCACCGATCCCAGGAAACCACTGCTTGATTTCTATTATTATAGTTTAGTCATGTCCTTTCTAGAACTTCACACAAATGAAACCATACCAGGAGATACACTTTTGTGCTGGCTTCTTTTGCTTAACCCACTGTTTTTCAGATCTATCCATACATACTGTTGTGTGTAGCAGTAGTTCCTTCCTTTTTATATCTAATAGTTTATTGAATGTACCAAATTTTGTTCATCCATTCACTCATCATAAACATTTTGTTTTCTGTTTTTAGTTATTATGAACAAAGCTATAACAAGCACTCATGTATATAAGTCTTTGTGTGACTATATGCTTACATTTATCTTAGATAAATACATCGATACATGGGAGTAAAATTGTTGGCTCAAGTGTATGTTTGACTTTATAGGAGTCAGTTGTTTTCCAAAGTGTATGTACCATTTTAAATATTCACAAGCAGGATCTGAGAATTCTAATTGCCCAGCATCCTCTGCCATGCTTGATATATCATATTCCTAGGCCTCCTGTAACAAAGTAGTACAAACTGGTGGTTCAAAACAACAGAAATTGATTGTCTCACAGTTTTGGAGGCCAGAAGTCCAAAATCAAGGCAATTTCAGGGCTATCCCCTTTCTCTGAAAACTGTGGGAATATCCTTCCTTGCCCCTTCCTAACTTCATTCTGGTGGTTTGCTGCAGTCATTGTGTTCATTGGCTTATAGCTACATAACTCCAATCTTTACCTTCTTTGTCACGTGGTATTCTCCTTGCGTGTTGATGTCTTCAAATGACATTTTCTCATAAGGACACCAGTCATATTGGAATAAGGGTGCACCCTTCTCCATTATGACCACATCTTAACTAGTTAAATTTGCAGTGACCTTATTTTCACATAGGGTCACATTCTGAGGTACTAAGAATTAGGACTTTAATTTATCTTTTATGAAGGATGCAGTTCAACCTGTAACACATTATATTTTAGCTATTCCCAAGGAGAGAAAATGCTATCTCATTTTTGTTTGTGTGGGTTTTTTTAATTTTAATTTTTGTTTTTGAAGCAGGTTTTTTAATGTTGCCTAGGCTGGCCTCAAACTCAGTGGGTTCAAGTGTTCCACCTGTCTCTGCCTCTTAAGTAGCTGGGATTACAGGTGCACATCACTATGTACAACTTTATCTCATGGTTTTAAAAAAAAGGAACCTTTTATTTTGAAACTTTTCAGATGGGAAAACCTGTTGCAAAAATAATAAAAATAATTTTTAGGATAATTTTCACCTAGACTAACATTTTATCATACTTGCTTTCATTATCTTTCTTCCCTCATATGAGTGTGTGTGTGTGTGTGTGTGTGTGTGTGTGTGTGTGTGTTTCTGAGCCATTTGAGGAAAAAGTCATAGACATGATTTAACTCCAAAGTATTTTACTATGTGTTTCCTAAAACTAAGGCCATTATCTTACATAATAAAAATACACTTATCAAAATCAGGAAACTTACACTGATTACAACACTATTAGCTAATCTGCAAACATTACTGTATTTTGCCACCTTTCCCAAAATATTCTTTATCTAGGCCAGAATCATAAATTGCATTAGATTGTCGTATCTCCTTAATTTTCCTTAATTTGCAATAGTCTTTGTATTTGATGATGCCTTTTTTTTTTTTTTGGTACTGGGGATTGAACTCAGGGGCACTAAACCACTGAGCCACATCACCAGCCCTAATTTTGTATTTGATTTGGAGACAGAGTCTCACTGAATTGCTTAGTGCCTCGCTTTTGCAGATGCTGGTTTTGAACTCGTGACCCTTCTGTCTCAGCCACCTGACCGCTGGGATTATAGACGTCTGCCACCATACCCAGCAACTTTGACACTTTTCAAGAATACATGCCAATTATTTTGTAGAATGTTTCTCAGTTTGGGTTTATTTGATATTTGCTCATGACTTCATATTTTTTAAATTGAAATCTGAATGGCTGATATATTCACATGTATATTCAGATGTTGAAAGATATAAGTTAACCAGGCATGGTAGCCCAGGCCTATAATCCTAGCCACTCAGGAGGTTGAGGCAGAAGGATTACAAGTTCAAGACAAGCCTGGGCAATTTAGTGAGACCTTGTTTCAAAATAAAATTAAAATGGCTGGGTTTATTAGCTCAGTGCTTTTATACATGTATGAGGCCCTTGGTTCAATCCATAGTAACACACAAAGAAAAAAACCCAATATATATTAATGAGCACTTAAAAAAAATCTGTGCTTTCTCCCCTTGATCTGAGCCTCCTAGTGATCCCTTTCTGTACAAAGGCAATGATGATACTTTCTTATGGAGGCTTTCAGAAGAAACAATAAAAATCCATATGTATATATATTTTCCCTAATTTTTATACACTTGATAAAAGTTAATATTTACTCAGGATTCTACACCCTATGTCTTATTTTTTTTTTGTACTTTACAATATATCTTGGAAATTGTCCATATCAATATGTAAAGGGCTTCTGTCTTCCATTGTGCAAGTGTATCATAGTTTACTTAATCAGCTTCCATTAATGGACATTGGCCTAGATTCTTAATATCAACTGGCTATAGGTAGTTCTTCACTGTTGCTGCTTCTTCTCTGAATGACTAATGACTTGGAGCAATACAGGAGATAATGGGAAATGAGTGATTAAAATGCCAAGAAATAAAAAGTATCAACTAGCTATTATTTTAGATAACACACACGTGTTCCTTCATTTAATAGGTATTAAATATTTACAGTGTTTTAGTTCCTCTATTAAGGGATAGAGAATAGAGAACAAGGCTGCAATAGACTTACAAATTTGAAATGCCTTTTTCAATTGAAGCTAGTCTCTGTAAGATAAACAATTCACATTCTAGGTCAATCCTGTTGCACATAATTTCCTGTAATAAGTGGGATTCCCAATGTATTGTAAGGCCAGCACACTCTCTTGACATCTTTAGGCCTCATGGTATGAGGAGTTGGGCCATGAGACTCAGTGGCAAGTTTCCCTGCTCTCACCACATATGCCTTCACTCAGCAGGAAAGGCTGTCTTCCAATTGTCTCCACCATCAGCTTGACCAGATGCATTCTGCCTAGTGCTCCACCTAACCATTTCACCTCCCTGTCAGCCTGTGAAATTGTTCAGATAAGCCAATCCTATCATCCCACAGTAACCATGGGTCACTTCTTGTCACTACAAAGCCTGCTTCTCACAGTCCTGCTAGTTCACTCTGTTTCTGAGTGAAACCCTTGTGTGACCCTGCATAGTGTGTGAGGTCTTCCTTCCTGGGCTATGACTCGATGTGATTAATAAATTATTGTACATCTCATGTATCTAATGTCATATGTTCCGTTATCTTGTAATGAATAGGGTAGGAAATCCTTTCTTCACCAATGATCTAAATAGGAAGTGATCAGAATGTCATCACCTCTTCTCCAGTAGAAATCTAGAGCAGCTTTTACTACCTTTCCCTGTATTAGTCTGCTTTCTGTTACTACAACAAAATAAGCATGGTTGGGTCTTTATTAACAAAAGAGGCTTATTTAGTTAATAGGTTTAGAGATTCAGAGGCATGACACTGGCTTCTAGTTGATTCTGATAAAGGCTTAATGGCAGATGGTATCACAGTGGTGAAAGGGCATGGAGAAGGAGATCATGTGGCAATATAGGAAGTCAAGAGAGTAGGGAGGTACTAGTAACAACCTCCCACTATGCCCCACCCCATAAATGCTCACCCTCTTAATGCTGCCTCCTGGGGACCAAGTTTCTTACACGTTCTTTGGGGACATACGCCCTCCAAGTCCAAACCTTAGCATTCTATTATACTAACTCTTCCTGTTCTTGACTCCCAAACCACTTTCTATGTTATATTTATCTCTGATAATATCTCGTAATAATATCTGTTTTCATTGCAGATGTTGTTTTAATGTCAGAAGGTAGTGTTTTTCTCACGTATATCCTTTTCCTCCTAGTGTACTTGGTTTTTCATGGCCCTCAGAGGGTTTTACTGGCATAATCCCTTGTTGAGGAGGAATTTATAGTTTCAGGAATCAGTGACATTCAAGGATGTGTCTGTGGATTTCACTTGGGAGGAGTGGATGCACCTAGATTCTGCTCAGAGGAACTTGTATGGGAAAGTGATGCTGGAGAACTACAGGAACCTGGTCTCACTGGGTAAGGACTTCTCCTTGTAATTCAAGACCTACCTCTTGACACCTCCCCCCCCCCAATCCTGTACAACATCTGAAATTTGTGAATTTGGACTGGAAATCCTAGCTTTTATAGGGCATTGTCTTAGGGTATTTGCTTGGTGTCCCCTCTTTCAAGGTGAATGGTCTTTTCATAAGCTACACCTTCCTTTGTTTCAGAAACATTGACAAGGAAGAAGATCAGAATAATACTGGGATTGGTTTTTAGACTCAGTTCAAAACCCAAATTTGTTCTATTTCCTCCCTTGCAGGGCATCAGCTTTCCAAACCTCATGTGATCTCCCAGCTAGAACAAGAAGAGTTAAATCTGAAGAACAAAGAACTCCCAGGGTGTGCTTCTCCAGGTAAGTGTCAGGATGTAAGGGTTTGTTATGTGAGACATACCTGAGTGTATTTCAATGGGGAGAAATCACTTCAGGGAGCCTTGGGTCTGGAGAGACTTAGTGGCAATTAATGTGTATTCTGAGGACACCTCCGATTACTGATGGGACACATTCTTCTAGCTCTTGCCTGCATCCTTATCTTGGAGGAAAGTCATACATTACAAGGATTAAACGAGTCACTACATTTGTATAACTTGTTCATCTCCTAGAACAAACTAAGTATTCAGTAAATGTTAGAAGTCTCTTCTATCTTCATCTGGACTTTGAATTGAATCTCTATCATTCTATCTCCTGAATAATGTGTCTCCTCTTATTGTCTTTCATGAATTTTTCTTCCAAGTTGTAACTTATATCCCTAAATTCCCTTCTCTTACTTTTAACATTTGGAAGCTTTATTCACATTTAAAGGTATCCAACATTCTTCTTCCTCTGCCTCAGATAGGTGTTTTTTAGTCTGTGTTTAAAACATGAAAAATGACTGTAGCTTCATTTTAATTTTTATCAGTCTTCTATTGTATATATTTTGGTTTTCATTCCTGAATTTTTTAATATTTATTTTTTTAGTTGTAGTTTGACACAATACCTTTATTTATTCATATTTATGTGGTGCTGAGGATCGAACCCAGGGCTTTGCACATGCTAGGCTAGTGCTCTACCACTGAGCCACAGCCACAACCCTCATTCCCCAATATTTTAATCTGCATTCACTACCTCTCAAATTGCATTTTCCTTTTAATGTTTAATGCTTCTTAATCTTTATTTCCTGGTCACATCACCAAAAGTTCTTTTTTTTAGATTTCATCACTGGCTTATTTCTGCAGAAATGCATTTCAGATCTTTATATTCCTTATGGTATGTAAAAGTATCTTATCTTTCCTTTTTTTGGTCTTGATGTTGGGGATTGAACCAAAGCCCCAGAACTCTGCATGCTAGTGATACCTGTCCAGTGTAGATTGGGAACCTGCTATTGACGATTAAATACCTGAGGAATGCCAAGGCAAGCATAGAAAGCAAGTTTTATTTAAGAAAGTGATAGAGGACAGACTTCCCCAATGAGGAGGGGCTTCAGACTGAAAACCTGTGGGAGGGGGGTACAACTTGTTTTCTTAATTATTGTCTTTAATTATTGTCTTCTCTTTTTTCCCCATATATGTGAAAACAGAAAGGAGCAGGAGGTGGGAAGTTAATTGTTAGCAACTCAGAGTACCAGGGAGCACAATAGTGGAAGTTAACGTTTAACAACCCATTGATAACCAGTTGTCACCCTCCCAACCCCCATCATTCATTACCTACACTGATTGCCTATCCTTTACCCCTGCCTCTATTTGCTGAGGAATGTGACATATCCTGTCCACTTAGGCTAGGAAGGGCTGCATGCAAATTGTGTTTTTAGCAAAGAAAGAATGTGGCAGGGTCAGCACTGTGGGCCCATTTTATAGAATTATTCTCTTAACCTGGTGTTCTCACCATTGTCATTTTTCTGACATTAGACCAGGTCTTCCACTGCTGAGCTGCATCCCCAACCGAAACATATCTTTTTATAATTTTTTTAATATTAAAGAGCTAGTAAATATTAATTTGCTCTCTGGATAGTATAAGTCTATCAAAGTAAAAAGAATAAGCAAAAATAACCAACATGGTTTCAACATCATAATGAAAATACAAATAACTGGGACAGAAGCAGACCTCAGACAGATCAGCAAGCTTTCCTTTATTTTGCCCCAGAGTCAATCAGGCATAGGAGGGCTCATTTTCTGGATATGGAAATGGTCTCCAGGTTATAGAAGGAGCCTCAGTTTTACAGTTTACAGTGAGGGTGAATTAGTCATTGGAGACGATGGATGTGCGATTCAGATAGTCAGGGACCTAGCTTAACAGGTGAAAATTTCAACTCAGGAAAGCAGTTGTAAAATTTGTCACTGAGAAAAGCTCCGAACTGGTTGTTCACTGCCTTATCTTCCTTCCTCTTCGACCCATTGTTATCTAGAGCTTCACTATTTGTTTTTCTCTTTCCAGGACTCATTGGCAATGGGAAATGATAAAAGTCCAGGGCCCAGAGTTTCAGTATCTGCTTTCTCCCTTCAGAACCCACTGTGGTTAAGAAAGGGTGAATGTTTGCTTTTGGTGGAGGTGCTCTGGATGAACCCAGGAAGGGATGAAAGTTTGCTTTTCCCTCAGGGCTCACTGTCACTGTGAAAGGATGTACTGGGAGAGGTTTAATGTTTGGCTAATTTCCCACTCTCCTCTCAAGCCACACTATTTTTCTGGGGGGCTGTCTTGTAGGAATATTATTTTCTTTTTGTTATTTATATATGACAGCAGAATGCATTACAATTCTTATTACACATATAGAACACAATTTTTTCATATCTCTGGTTGTATACAAAATATATTTACACCAATTCATTACTTCATACATGTACTTTGGATAATAATGATCATCACATTCCACCATCATTTCTAACCCCATGCCCCATCCCTTGCCCTCCCATCCTTCTGCCCTATCTAGAATTCGTCTATTCCTCCCATGCTCCCTCTCCCTATCCTACTATGAATCAGCCTCCTTATATCAAAGAAAACATTTGGCATTTGATTTTTTGGGATTGGCTAACTTCACTTAGCATTATCTTCTCTAACTCTATCCATTTACCTGCAAATGCCATGATTTTATTCTCTTTTATTGCTGAGTAATATTCCATGTGTATATAGCCACAGTTTTTTTTATCCATTCATCTACTGAAGGACATCTAGCTTGGTTCCACAGTTTAGCTATTGAGAATTGTGCTACTATAAACACTGATGTGGCTATGTCCCTGTAGTATGCTTTTTTTAAGTCCTTTGGGTATAGACCAAGAAGAGGGATAGATGAGTCAAATGGTGGTTCCATTCCCAATTTTCCAAGAAATCTCCATATTGCTTTCCATATTGGCTGTACCAATTTGCAGTCCCACCAGCAATGTATGAGTGTGCCTTTTTCCTCACATCCTCATCAACACTTTTTGTTGTTTGTCTTCATAATAGCTGCCATAATAGTGACCCTTCATAAAGAGGTTTTTAAAAAATTATAAAAGTATCCATGCAAAGTAACAACTGTACCTTGAAGGAAATCAGAAAACAGTTTGAGCTAAACAAGGCTCAGCTCAGGAGCACAGATTCAAGTTCTCTTGAATGAATGTTTCAAAAAAAAAAAAAGTAGGTGTTACAACTTATTACCTAAAACAAAGGTTAATTGATACATTGAATAGATAACAAATCTGGGGACATTACATAGGCAATTAAGATAGAGTGGTAAAATTTGACCACTGAACTGAATGGTATCGTAGTGATACAGGAGATCTTGTTTTGTTCTTGCTCTTGTGCTCTGCAATGATAAAATTTCAGAAAGATAGGAGACAGTAATAATATAGCAAAGTTTATTAGAAGGGAAACAAAACAGTCTCAGGGAAGATTGACAATGAGCCCCCTTTGTTTCCCAGTTTTATTGGAGATCTTAGGAAATTTTCTAGAGTGTTCTGCCTAGTTACCACCTTTCAACTTTTGACTGACAGTAGGATTGCATCAGATTTTTAAGTCCCTACTGCGCATGATCTTACCCACACCACAGGTACCCAAGCAAAACTTACTTGGGGGGAGGAGGGAATTTTACTGTTAAAAAGGACATGTTAAATTTAGATCTAAAAGCAAATCTAGGTTACCTCAGAGGGTACTTATTGGTTCCAATTGGAACTTGTTCTTACAGATTTTATGGTCATTGACCTTTGTTTGTAATTATCCTATCTTCCTGAGTCCTGGAATTTTTGGTATATATAAAGGTCTCCCTTTTAGGGTAACTTATATTCTCCTTCTTGATGGAGATAGTAGCTTTGCAGATAACAGGTTGTTTGCTGAGGAATATAACATATCCTATTGGCTTAAACCAGGGTAGGGTATGAGTAACCTTAGGGAAATTGCTTTTTTAAAGAAATTCTGTGGGGTGAGCAGTTTCCCCTCAACTCCATATGCTCATATCTGTCTGTTACCTATCATTACTATATTCTTAGTGAGAAAATTGGTCAAGGCAGGAGTCTGTTCTTTGTCAAGCTATGGTTGGTCAATTAAGTCTAACATTAAAACAGGTTCATCTAATAGATACAAGAGTCAGAAGAAATGGAATGTTTTCTAAAGGCTGAAATAGCCCCTATAAGCCTCTAGTGTCCTCCATTGCAGGACTTCAGTAAGCCTGCCCATATTTACAGTTCCCTGTGGAAGAAGTTGTTCATCTGGTACTTGCCTGAAGGAATTCTATCACAGTAGTTTCTTCAAGAATGTTCAATTTTACAACAGGGGAAAAAAATAACTAGGACCATCACTGCTGGTTTCCAGTAAACTCTGAAAAATCAAATTCTAGGAGTGGAGTTATGGGTCAAAGGGTATATTACATCTTAATGGGTCTTGCTACATATTCTATAACTTTGGAAACTATTTTATGTTTTTAATGCTAATTTATTTGTTAAAATAGGATCTTTTAGGTGAGCTTTAATCACTTTTATTATAGCTATCTTTTACTCTGGCTTTGATTACTGTTGCTCTTGGTGTTTATTCATATGTAAATAACTTATTCACTCCACAAATGTCTACTGAATACTAGGCCCTGTTACTACCTGTGGGAATATAGCAGTAAGAAAAACAGGCAGCTGCCTTGAGGTACTTACATTCTAGTGGAGGACACCATAAACTAAGAATGAAAGAAGGAAGGGAGGGAAGGAAGACAAGATACAGGGTAAGAAAAAAAGAAAGAAAGCTAATGATTATAATTTGGTTGTAGGTGCTATGTGGAAAAATAAAGCAGCATAAAGGGACTAAGTTAGTTAACAGGACTATTGTTTATAGGGATGGTCAGGGAACAGGTGACTTTTGAACTGATGCTCAAATAAATTGATGGGCCATATGGGAGGATATTCTGACTATAGGAGATAGCATGT